TTGTATGGGAGTTAAGGGTGATTATATGGAGTTGCATATTTGAACTTCAAATTCAAACAACTCCCTCTGACCATTTTAATAACTTGTAGGTCGGGTCATCCCACATGGGCGATCCACGACCCGTATTTTTCTAACATCTAGAGTAAAACTTAAATTATGATTTTCTGTTGACGACCACGACAAATTTAATAATAACGAGCAATTCTTAATTCAAATTTTCTTATTTTGATCAAATGGGTTTTTATGTTCTTGAATTTTATTTTAAAAAAGAACTTTTTCGAGTGCTTGAGAGTTACCGTGCAACTAATCATGAACATGTTGACGTTTGTTATTGCTTATATGTGTGTGTTTGTGTGCACGTACGTACTTTTTACAATTTATATAATCAATAATGTTCGCGTTAGTGTTAAATGATGAAAATGTAAAGAGACCGGAACTGGGAAAATGGTTTAAATTACGGTGAAGTGTGTGACAAGTAGGCTACCAATCTGTGGTAATCTTCAAAGTACGCAAAAGGACAAGTCTTTTTTTTTTTTTCCTTTTTGTTTACCTGTTTCTTTTGAGCGCTACAAGTTAGCACTTGGATAGAACTGCCAATTAAATTGACTTGTCGTTCGAGGGTTCCTAACATGGGGCGTCTGCTCTAATACCACTTTTACAAATATATACTTGATGCAATTACTTCAAAACAGACTTATAAAGAGCAGGTGTCTTGTGTCATTATAAACTTACAAATCAGACCTTTTGTGATCAACATAGGATTTGAGAACTATTTGTTACAAATTCAAGTTATTTTATATGTCTTTATGATCACATTACTTAGAAAATTGAATTTCTTATGTCCATAGACGACTTTCTGCAAAGATAAGATCGAGAGAGTTTTGGCGTGAACTTTAGGGAAACCTATCCTGCCGAATGGTAGTACAAAAATGTACGTGCAAGGATAAAATTTCGGTAGCCTCGGTGAGGATTATCCTCTCCTAGGCAAAGTATTACCCGAATAGGGGTTTCATTACAGAGATCATACATCTTCTCTACGCATAAAAAACTCCAAGAAACCCTATTTTTAAAGAACATATTCTACAATTTAGAGAGAATTTTTAAATACTCCAACGAACTCTTTATATTTAATTAATTTTACTATTTTCAAAAAATATTTACAATGTGTTTGATTTGTATGAAAAATATCTCCTAAAAAATAAAATGTTCCTTATTTTATGGAAAATAAAACCTATCCCTCCGAAGAAAATGTTTTCCTAAAAAAATAATAAATAAATAAAACTAAACATATTTTCAAAAGTTGAAAAATATTTTAGAATAGAAGAAAGGGTAATCAAACGCTCCAAAAGTTTGAATTTGGGAGGAAAAATGCAATTTTTCAATCAAACACACCCTTATTTTTTTCACCTATCTTTTATTTTCATTATTTTCCTTCCAAATTATTATATTATTTTCTTCCATTGAAAATTGAAATATTTTGAATGCAACTAATTATAGAGAGTATGTTTGGCTATCTCTAAACTAAAATATCAATTTAAAGAGTCCCTCGGATTATAAGTTTAAATGTTGAATCTTTAAAATGTAGAGTATCTTATGTTCAAAGAGTTTTTTTGGGATGTTCTGATTTATTTACAGGGTTTTGCTATTTGGTACATCTTTAATGGATGTGAATATTACCCTTAACACGTTTGTTATTCCCTCTGTCATACGTCACAAATACATACACACCACGGTACTATAGATAGTCAAGTGAATTGACTATATTATTGTGGTAAAAGCCGTGGTGTAAGAGGAACCGTTACCGTAAAGGCATAGAGAAGAACTCATAAACGTCTCCACTATTAAATTAATTTTCGACGAAATGAAAGAGACGTATTGTAGAATCGTTATATATGACCCTAAATATTCTATATAAGTTGAGAAACACAAGTAATGGGGACTCATTTTAATTTAATGGATTTTTGAAGTGCTGGACAAGTTAAAAGGAATGACAAGGATGGATAGTTTGAATCTTCTATTTGACATTTCTTTTGTATTACCATAATTTCAAGATTAATTGTTGCAAGCTTATAACAGCTCCACTACTGATAGAAAATCACTAAAATACAAATTAAGATGAACCCTAGAAATGAAACAAATCCTGTGTATTGGCAACAATAAAAGTGGATATAAAAAGTAATTAGTTATTTAACATCCCATGAAAAAGCAGCCTAATTATCTAATTTGGATGTTCTTGCTTTTCAAATTTTATATTCAACTTCTGTAGCAAGATTTTTTGTCCTAAACTTTCTACATAAACCAGAATTACAGTGACATTGCCGTCGGTTTTACCCAAAAAAATTATGGATTTTGCTAGAGACCTGCACCAAACAGTTTAGCTTGAGAAGATGATGAAGCAGAAGATTTTAGCTTTAAAATGTGGAGGCATGTGCTATTTTACTTCCGATGAAGTAATGAACGATGAAATTATCTGCTTGGACCTCTGAAACACGATATCTGTTTTTCAGTCTAATTAGGTCAAGACTAGCAACTTCAAATAAATTTAAATATAGTTTATATATGATGATTATGAAAAATAATCACCTTGACTCCAAACAAAATTAAAAACTAGTGCAAGATAAATGCTAATTAATTAATTAAGATATTTGCTAGTTAAGGAACAATATAAAATTTCTTTTTCTTTATCTTGTTCTTATTTCTAACTAAAACTGATAATTTATTCATTATATGATTCAAAAATATGAGTCATTCACGCTCATGTAACATTGAGGATCCATGCGCAACAACATTAAGTCCATGTTTGGTTTAATTGAGAATTATGTTTTAGTAAATTTTGATAAAAATGGATAAAATGTGGAATTAAAAAGTCGATAAAAATTGTATGTTTCATGAAATGTGTAGTTGAAATGAGTTTGATAAAAAAAAAAAAAATCTAATTAATTAATTAAGATATTTGCTAGTTAAGGAACAATATAAAATTTCTTTTTCTTTATCTTGTTCTTATTTCTAACTAAAACTGATAATTTATTCATTATATGATTCAAAAATATGAGTCATTCACGTTCATGTAACATTGAGGATCCATGCGCAACAACATTACGTCCATGTTTGGTTTAATTGAGAATTATATTTTAGTAAATTTTGATAAAAATGGATAAAATGTGGAATTAAAAAGTTGATAAAAATTGTATGTTTCATGAAATGTGTAGTTGAAATGAGTGATAAAAAAAAAAAAAAATTGCAATGAAGATGGAGGAAGCAAATGTAGAAAAAGAACAAGCAATCACTCACCCTATTGTTACTGCTATTGTTGGGAAGAGTGGCACTAATTTCGGGTCTGGTTCGTCTAAGAGCCAAACATGGCCTAAATCTTGGAATTGAGTTGCTTCAATATAAGGTCAGAAACCTACTAGTTATTTTGTTCTTGTTCGTAAGAATCTGAAAATTTCCAAGAAATAGATTATCAATGAACTGTTAAACAACAGGTAAATTAGTACAGAATTTTAAAAAATATGCAGAAGGGTTAATCCCAAATTAAATCACATAGCCTAGCATCAATTCCATTCTCAGGCCTGAATACAATGGGCGATTACGTGTGGTTGTCTACAATCTATATAGTATTACGTGAATTCGTCTTATTCGTAGCCAAAACCTAATTATTAGGGTTTTTATTATAATTAATATGGAGCTGTTGTTGTTACTGTATAAGAATTATTATATTACGATCAACATGCATGCATGTGTAACTTTGATTGATGATACCAAAATGCCCTAATTCTGTATATCACTTTGATTACCTACCTATATAAAAAATTTGGTTTGAAGATTTAATTTCTGACAGGAATTGGAAAAACATGTTTGACTATGCTTAAAAGTTACAATTTTAGAAAGTACATAATTAATTTTTTTTATATAAAAAAAAGTAAATTTTAAATCTATGTTCGACGAAGAATGGTTAACGAAAATTTTAAGCTTGAGTGCATTGTTAGAAAAATAAATAAAATTCTTTGTGGACCCTTTTTTTTTTTTTTTT